TTAAAGTTTCGTTGGAACGAAGTTACGGAAAAATCAATTAACAAACGGAGACGTAACAATAACTTTCTTTGTAGCGACGCCATGGGATCTAGTTTAACAGTTTCTTGTCATCATCCGCATGCATCGGTGCAGCCGTATGAAGCACCATTATTTACGCTAATTGCTTAAGCTAATATCACGTGACGTCAAACGCTCTATAATTAGTAAAATTTAATACAATTTAGCAAAATTCTGCTTAAAGTTAGCAATGAATAATAACCATCCACCAGCATGATACTTTTGAAAACTTGAGCTAGAAACTGCTAATCTAGGTTGCTTGGCCTAACCAATATTATGCATCTGCACGTGCTTTCACTCTATAGTCTTGCTGCTGTAAATCAGCCGTCTTTATCCGAATTACAAAAAATTAAAAACGGTCCATTTTTACCCTTAGTTAAAGCTGTAATACAAATTTCAGACTGGTAGCTCATGTGACTTTTTGCCTAGGCGTGCGCAGAAAATTTGGTCAAAATTGAGCGGTTCTTATTGAATAACTTTGCACATGTGGCTTATACTTAAACCAAATTTGACAACTAACTGTAAAGTTTTATCAGTGTACCAAATTAGAAAAAAATACATGAAAGTTAAATATGTTTTACTATCAAATAAAATTTCCGTACTTTCGGTGTGAATAAAAAAAAAAGGATAAAATTCAATCAAAATTGGAGGTTTTATATCTCGTAAATTTCTTAATGAACTGCCTTAAAATTTGGTATGTGAAGTAAGGGTCCAGTAGAGCACATACTCTGTAAATATGTAATAGTTGTGATTTCTACAGTCCTAGCTACAGAAAGTGGAAAAATTTCTAAACTATTACTCCTGTTAATAACACACATGTTTTGGCTGCACGACATACTACCGTGTGTCTTGATTATGTAGATGAATGTTATACATAAGGCAGTACGAATATTCTGGCTAATAAAGAGACTGGCTTGGAATATTGAGGTATAGTATATCTAGTAAAGATCGCAGTGATAGCTTAGTCTCTAATGTTAGATTAGCATGGCGTGCTCTGTGTTTTGGTGAAGAATCATCAATTTAGGACCCTCTGGTAACAATAAATCGAGAAACAATCAGTAACCAAAA